GTGGGTTGAGATCAAACAACTGATGTGGAGATGGCTCAACAATTCAGCAGAACTAAAATCCACTGCGGAGTAGCAATGGACCTACTGGGCAAGTCATGCTTTTTTCCTTCAGTTGGTTTCCGTAAGTATTCCCGTATCATTTTTGCACATAAATTCTGTTCTCGAAGTCACAATCAATCAAACACGAACAAAACACTTCCTCAAAATCCGCCAGACAATCAGCAAATTACCCACCAGATAAATCTACTGTACAAGTAATCATCGAACATCCACAAACATCCACTCAAATCCACCAAACATCATCGAAAATCCACCAAACATCTCCAAAGAATCATCTACAAGACACTTCACCAACAAAAATCATTATATCAGTGGTAAAATCACCGCTATATCCCGATATCATAGTTGGCTAAACCATGTTAAACCACCATTTTTGATGGCTAAATCACCATATCATCTTAGATTCCCATCCCTTGATGGTTCAAGCACCATTTGATGCTCATTTTGATGGTTAAGCCAAGCCATGTGAACCCCATATTTCGCTGCGATAAACCATTTTTCATGGTGAACCCCATATTTTATCTATTTTGCTGCCTCAAAACCACCGTTGTTCCATGGTTACTGGCCATGCCCCTGGCCCTTCCACCAGCCAGGCTTTTCAGCGTCCGCTGCGTCGCTTGCAGCGTTTGGGCGCGCAGCGCTTGGTGCGGAACCTGACCTCGGCGGTGCTAGCGCAGTTGAGGCCTGGAGAATAATTATGGCGGGTTCATTTGGAGGACACCATAATTATGGTTGATATCATCATTAATTAATTATTTATGGTTGATATATGTTGATATTAGTATTCCAAATGGTTTAACTCAATTTCAATATGATAATTGGAGGATTTACACCATAATTCAATCAATATGAATGTATATTAATATGATGAATGGCCATTGATGGGTTTCATAGATTATTAATAGATCATAAATAGGCGGAATGGTTTAATATCCAAATATGGCAATTGTGAATGATTGGTTGATATTAGTATTCCAAATGGATTACTTAACATGATGGTTAAGAATTAACACTACGTAGTTAATATGTATGAATGATATGGGTTTATCAATGAATCATTATTTTTTTTCATATTTTACTGATGGCCACAGATATAGTAAACCATCAATGGAATATGATTCTGATTCAATCAATATGAGTTGGATGGCCATTGATGTTTGATCATTCATGGTTAATTTTGGTCAATTTTCATTTCTTACCAGTAGTACCGCACAAGGCGGTGGCGGAAGTTTCAAAAATAGGAAACCTATAGGAGAGGTTGGTTGTTGTGAATCACGGATGGCAGAGCGAAGCCACTGATGACCGAAAGGTGGTGAGGTACTCCTCTCTTTCTCCTCTCTTTCTCTCTCTTTCTCTCTCTTTCTCTCTCTTTCTCTCTCTCTCTCTCTTCTCTCTCTTCTCTCTCTTCTCCTCTTTCATCTGACTACCTACCTACCTACCTCCTACCTGCCTACCTACCTACCTACCGATCTATCTATCTATCTGTCTGTCTGTCTGTCTATCTATCTATCTACCTATCTATCTATCTACCTACCTATCTATCTATCTACCTATCTATCTATCTATCTATCTACCTATCTATCTATCTATCTATCTATAATCTATCTCTCTATCTCTCTGTCTCTCTGTCTGTCTACCTATCTATCCATCTATCTATCTATCTGTCTGCCTGTCTGTCTGTCTATCTATCTATCTCTCTGTCTGTCTGTCTGTCTATCTATCCATCTATCTATTTACCTATCTATCTATCTACCTACCTATCTATCTATCTACCTATCTATCTATCTACTTATCTATCTATCTATCTATCTATCGACCTATCTATCTATCTGTCTATCTATCTATCTGTCTGTCTGTCTGTCTATCTATCTATCTATCTGGCTGTCTATCTATCTATCTATCTATCTACCTACCGATCTATCTATCTATCTAATCTATCTAATCTATCTAATCTATCTAATTATCTATCTAATTATCTATCGAATCTATCCAATCTATCTAATTCTATCTAATCTATCTAATCTATCTAATCTATCTAATCTATCTAATCTTTCTAATCTATCTAATCTATCTATCTATCCTATTCTATTCTATTCTAATCTAATATTATCTAATCTAATCTAATCTGATCTAACCTAATCGAATCTAACCAAATCTAATCTAATCTAATCTATCTATCCTATCCTATTCTATTCTATTCTAATCGAATCTAACCTAATCTAATCTAATCTAATGTTCCCTATCTATCTATCTGTCTGTCTGTCTGTCTATCGATCGATCGATCGATCTATCTATCTACCTATCTATGTATCTATGTATCTATCTATCTATCTATCTATCTATCTATCTATCTATCTGCAAGCGTGAAAACGAAGCTATTCTGCCAGACTTCCTCAGTTTTTGAACTTGACAACATCAAAACGCAGCAATTCTGCGAGACTTCCTCAATTTTCGAGGCTGACAACATCAAAAACGAAACCATTCTGCGAGACTTCCTTCAAAAATGGAAAGTTGAGTGCAGAGCTGACGGCCTCGTGCCAATGCGTTTTGCGATTTTTCCAGTCCACCTGTCTAAAGTACTGCGCCTGCCACGACAAAGTGATGCCAGGTCATACGAAGTGCTGCACCTGTTACACAAAATCATCTCAGCAAACCTGAAAATCTGATGCTCCAAAATGCAACCTCTCTCAGGAAATCAGCGCCCGGGCCTCCTAACAGCTCTGATGAACATGTCTCTTGTACTGCGCCTGCCACGGAAAATGCATCTTTGCAGATCCTCTTCAAATGTCCCACGCCTGCCATCGTTTTTGGAAATGCTACAAAACCCTCACGTTTTGCTCACTTTTGAGAAGGTGCACAATCCCTTGCGACTGCCACGCGAAAGCACATCTGAACCTCCAAAAGTGGCGCGAACATTTGGTGTTTTTAACATGTTGACTTCGAAATGTGCTTCGCGCCACAACGGCGTGCACTTTTTTGACATCTCAACTTCCAAGAGTGGTCCGGAGCTGGTGTGTTTTGTACATTTTGACTTCGAAACGTGGTTCGCGCTACAACGACGTGCAATTTTTCATTTCTCATCTGGCCAGCTGGCTCTGCGCCCGCCGCTTTAGCGAGCTTACTTTTCGACCCTCCGGAGCCACAAATCATTGGAAAAACACAATGTTTTGCGACTTTCCTACTTTTTCGCGCACCTGCATCTTCTTTCTTCTGACTCTTTCTCTTCTCTGATCTTCTCTCTTCTGCTCTTCTCTCTTCTACTCTTCTCTTTTCTACTCTTCTCTTCCCCCTGGCTCTTCCCATCTCTGCTTTTCATCTGTCCATATTGTCGGAAGTTTGACTTCTAAACTTCCTTCGATTAAAAATGACCAATGGCCATTGATGGTTTACCAACTCTATGAATATGAGGCGGTGATCCTCCCAATGGAGGGTATTTCATATGACTCCCAGTTTGATAATAACTTCCCAATATTTATGAAAAGAATGGACTAGGATTCAAAAAATGTGCTTTCCTAAAATGAAGGTAGCCCAAAACTGCCCATGGGCCATAGTAAACCCTAATTTAATGGCAAATTATAGATATTTACCATTGGCCAAATTATGATAAACTCTAGTGGCAAAATGATGGATTATTCTGATTGGCAATTGGGATTCAAGTAGGAAAGATGGGGGATGTAGTCATCAGAAAAACTAACAGATCGCCAGATCGCCATGGTTTAGATGGCCCATTTATAGATGATTCTATAAACAATTCTGATTTACCTACGTATATTAAAAATTGGGTTGATGTAGTCCATGGGATGTAGTCATTGGAGATTTAGCCAGGAAAACGTGGAGTTAGTTAATTTGATTGTCTACTGTATCCATTAATAGTTGGGATGTAGCCATCAAGAACAGGACTTCAACATGATCCAAGCAATGATGAATGGAACTAGTTTTGTCTTAAAATCAGTGTTTTTGATTGATAGGGAAAACTGATGATAAAATTGTGGATTTGCAACATCCTGAAACTGGGGCTCTCAATTTTTTAGGCTACTTGGGGCTTGTGATCTTTTTTGTGGAGCTCCAGAAGGTTTATATTCTTTTCAAAAACCTGGAGGTGTTTGATCTCTTAAGTTGGTGTTTGAAGGAATGGCACCAATTAGCGCAAAGGGTCAGACTGCCTGTGCCAGGTCGCCACAGGCACATGTGACGCTTGGCAGGAATAGAGACACTGAGAAAGTACGGTAGGGGCCTGCAAGCAAGTCTTGCAATCAATAGACTGGTTGGTGGTTTGACACATTTTTAACAGAATCCTATTTGGGTTGATGATCCCAATTGACAAATCTTTTGTTGGGATGGGTTAAAACATGTTGAAACAACCAACCAACGGAGGATTGAGGTGGCCGTGTAGATGGTTATCCCCGACTCTGGCAACTTTACTTTCGAATTGATGAACTGCGATCGATGATGCTAGTAGGATTGATCATAGTAAGACTAACGATAGTAAACATGATGACGACTAAGACGAAGAACAAGAAGCACAAGAAACAGAAGAATAAGAATAAGAAGAACAAGAAACAGAAGAAACAGAAGAAACAGAAGAAGAAGAAGAAGGATAAGAAGAAGAAGAAGAACAAGAAGAAAAAGAACAAGAACAAGAAAAAGAAAAAACGAAAAACATGAAGAACATGAAGAAGATGAAGATGATGATGCTGACGATGAAGATGATGATGATGATGGTGGTGGTGATGATGGTGATGAAGATGATGATGATGATGATGATGCTGGTGGTGGTGGTGGTGGTGGTGTGATGGTGATGAAGATGATGATGATGATGGTGATGATGATGATGATGATGATGAAGAAACTTACATCATCAATCATCATAACAAAATGATACATCATGAACAACATTTTCCAAGTTGCTCACCTCCAAAATCCACCATCTGGCTCCAGCGGGAAGACCTGAGCAGCTTCGCCGCGGTCCAGCTGCGGAGCTGCGGGGACCGGCGGTGGATGACGTTCTCCCTGAAAATGGCGATGAAGGGAATCCAGGATGCCGCCTCTTTGTCGGAGCACGCCTTGCGCTGCGCCATTGCCGTCTTGGACCATCAGGTGGGGAGAAAGATTGGGATGGGGAAGATGGGGATAATGGTCAAGCTGGTCTTGGAGAAGGGAAAACATTTCGAAGGCTGAAAGGGTGATGGAAGAAAGCTCATATTTTGTGGGTTTGAAACGACATTGATTATTGAACACACCAACCACACATTTGCCAAAATTCGTCACCACTACCCATGGCATTTGCCACTCATAAAATCATTCAACCATGAGCTCGAATTGGCTAAGATCCATCGAAAAAAACATTCATTTTCCAATTCAAATCTTGCTCTTCACTGGGAAAACAATCATTCGACCATCCAAGTTTGGAGATCACAAGATGGGGGTTTCCTAAAATGGGGGGTACCCCAATAGCTGGATGGTTTATAATGGAAAATCCTATTAAAGTGGATGATTTGGGGGGTACCCCTATATAAGGATTGGAAACCACCAAATGAAGCAATGAACCAGGAAGCCAAGGCGGATGACATCGAGGATTGTCTCCTGAAGTTTAACCGTTTGCTGAGCAACCCTGTGCCCAGCAGCAAGGCTAGGTGTCAAGGGGAACTGGTCATGGAGATGGGGAAACTGGGTGAAACTCAGAGGGTTGAAGTTGAAGTGGATCTCCGGTGCGGAATTTTGAGGATGGAATATGATGGACTCCTCTTACCTTTCCCGGAAACCGTATCTTGCGACGTATCTCCCCGTGACCAGCTCGCCATGTGCCCCAAGCTGCAGGTGATCGACATGATCGCATCTTCAAATTTCCCCAGCAGCATCGTTCGGGTCATGAGGCGCCACAAGGAGCACCCAGCCGCGCCCTGGTGAGGGTAAGAGGCGCTGGAAATCACCATTGAAGCCTGAGGGGATTTTTAGGGAATTTGAGATTCACATAGATTCACTGTTCTAACAGGTCCTGACAGATCCTGACAGATTTCTAACGGATCCTGACTACTGTAATTAATTATTGACCATAGACCATAGTGAACGATGTCTTGCATTAACAATATACAGGCTTTGAGGTGCCGGTTTGCGTACCCAGGTCGTGTTGGGCCGTTGGGCTCATTTGGTGTGAATGGACTCCTGGGTCTTCACTTCTGTGGATACCAGTAGTGAGGAGTACATATTGTAGAGGTTCTATTGATTAATGTATCATAGATACTCGCATTGATAGTTGAATAGAACTATTATGGATGTATCATATAGCTACCATCCCCGTATCATATATATATATATATATCAACTATTAACTATATGGATATATTATATAATCCAACAGTTGATAGCTACTATCCCCTTTTTTCCAACATCTCCATTCACCCATTGTTGACATCCTCAGAATCGTTGCGAGGAGAACCTGCCCATCTTGGCCCTGGCGTGCCAGTGCGTGGCTGGCTCCGCCAGCACTACCGATGCGGCCACCAGCTTCGCGCGGGCAGGTGGAGGGGATGTGGTCAGCAAAGATGTGCAAAAATGGGGGATCTAGCGATATATTCCACAACTTTTGGATGGTTTCGAACACAGACAGAGATTTTGGATGGAAAATTAAGGATGTGGTCGATCTTGTAGAGGAGATGTCCCCATCTTTCACCCTGCCAGGTGTGTTAGATGAGGTTTTGAACGTCATGGACAGCCACAAGACGCATGGAGGAGTGCAGAATGTTGCATTGTTCCTGTTACGCACCATCCTGAAGGACTGGGCTGCTGGGTTGGACCCCTAATTGATTGAGCTGGGTCTTAACTGTTTGTGCAGTGACCCCTAATTGTCGCGAAGGATGGGACTGCAGCGCGTCAGGCTGTTCAGAATGGAGCCATCGCCAGAGTACTTCGCCAAAGTTAGCTGGTACAGAAAGAACCAAATTGGGGCTTTATCGACAACCCAGGGACTATAGATGAAAGAATGTGAAACATCTTTCTGTTCCAAGTCATACTGTAGCTTTATGATTTTGCTTTCAGATGTGAAAAATCGATGGATTTTTAGGTCCTGGCGGCCTTGAACTTGTCCATGGGCCGCGAGATTCAATACGGCGGCTTGGTGTCACTGCGCCAGATGATGGATGCGAGTCGCCAGAATCGATACTTTTGGCCGCTGGGTCAAGATGGGTTCAGCCGTGGGGCTGGGGGAAGGGAGTCTAAGGGTCAGGGACTCGATTTTTTCTTTTCCCAAAGAATAGGGCGGGATTTGGTACAGAGTTTCTTGGGGAAACTAGTCTGAGTTCCAAGTGCCAAAACTATGTTTGCACCATGGCATACGATGCATAAACCTGCCTGTATCAAATAGATCATTTTGAAACAGCATCAACATTTAAACTTGTCTCAAAGAGGGTGTCACCTTAAGATTCTCTGGTTTCTCATCATCTGCCCTAATTTTTTTGTGGCCATAAATTAGGAACCATGAATGCAAGACCATGAATGCAACCAGCACCCAGATTCTGGACCTTGGCCATTTGGCCATGCCTCCAGGCAAGAGAGCCTGAAGACGCAGCGTGCGCAAATTCAAGAAGCGGGGCTCCAAGCCAAGGCGCACCATCAGTCCGATGCCGCCCTCTGTGAGGTGGAGAAGGGCGGGAGTTGGAGTGGACGAGGAGGATGTGAAACTTCCAAGACATGTTGATTCGTTAGAGAGCTAATTATAGTGATGACTGTATGAGTATGCATGAGAATTGAAGATCTTGGGGGACTACGGATGAAAATGCGTCATTTCCAGGGGTGACCCATCCGATTTTTGGGGTATCCGCAGCACCAGGCAGCTGACGACACGTTGGCCTTCGTGATTCCTCGGTTCAAGGTGAGCCCTCTGACGCCTCAATGAACTTATCATTTGAATCATTGAGTTCTCACAGGTTGGTGTTTTCGAGTTCGGTTGCCCCAGGATTCCAGTTGTCCCCCAGCCATCAGGAGGTGCCCTGCTGGCACTGGCAGTCTGGGTGGTGCAAGATGGGCCCCAAATGTACCTATGCTCACGGCCAAGAGGACCTTCGTGGGGGTCATGGCAAGGCCTATGGCAAGGGAGGCTACCGCAGAAATGCGGCGGAGTAGGAGGGTCGACGAACGTACGGCTCCTCCGAGATTTCGCGACGATGTGAGCAGAGTGCTGTGTTTTTACCTCCCACTGCAGTTGCACCGGAGCCCTCTAGAGACCTGGTGTGCTGCGGCCATGGGCGTTCCACCGCATGTGTTGCATGTCAAGTTTTGGCCCAGTTGGCAGACAGTCGCGCCGAAATTTGAAAAATGCTGGGCCAGGGTGGGCAGGGTGTAGCACAGAGCTCTCTGTTTTAGGTCTCATGACGTTTTTGCATCGACACTATCTCTGCAGTCACTGGAATGGTGAAGATCCATCTCCAGCGGTATAAAAATGACGATCAAAATACTTTGTAGCCCGTGTTTTTTGTTTCTTGGGGATATTTGGCAAAAAATGGCAAACACATGGCAAAAATTGGGCGATATGGATCTCACATGATCTCACCATCTGAACTTCTAAACACTGGACTAAGGAGAGCCTCAGCCCTTCGCGCCTTGCAATCGGCTCCTCCACAAGGCGTTGCCTTCAGGAAATCGGGAGAACATCCCAAAATTCAAGGGGTAAAAACAGCATTTTCCGCTACAAATTACTATAAATGGGATTTTTCCCAGATGATTTTAGGATATTTTAGGTTTTCAATGGTTTTCAATTCTTCCAAAACAGGATTTTTAAATTTCAATTCTTCCAAAGCACATTCGATTCTCCTCATGGGTCATTCCACGGATCCAGCTGATTTTGTGGATGTCCTGTTGGTTTCTTGGAACTAGATCTAGGAATGGTGATGAGGGAATGCAAAGAGGGGGAAGATGATCATTGGCGAGCGTGGTATTGTCAGTGAGAAGGTTGAGAAGTGTAATTCTTCTTCGTTCCCATCCTTTCCATTCCTTTCCAACCTAAAAAGGATCTTACACAGCTCGTCACCAATCCTCCAAATTTAGTCGAACATTATTTTCTTCTGAACCCTGAGTTGTCTTTTTTGGTTCCATTATGTTCCATTTTTTTTTGGCCGTGTCTGTTTCCCGAGTCGTTTTTCCCCATGATTTTCTGACAGTTCCTGTGCCAGGCTTCAAGCTCTCAAGATCGGCTCTGCAAGAGGCCCTGAGCCCGGGATGCTCAGGTTTTGCTGACTGGGCCTGAAAATGGAGGAGAACTGGTACCACCAATTTGTGGCCATTTTTCTAGAGGGAAAACAGAGGAACATGATGATGAGGAACAGGGGATTTGGATGGATTTGGGGTTTGCATGGGTTTACTGTACCCTACTTTCAGACAAACCAGACTGATATTTCTTATCAACCCAAAAATTGGGGGATGGTTTCAATCCCACCTACATTCTGATGAAATTGGTAGCAGCATTGGATGAAAAGAACATTTGGAGGTGTCCCTTTCACCTGCAGGATTGATCCATGAGAAGAACCATGGTTTCGTGTAAGATTTCCATAGATTTCCCTGCAACCAATCCATTGAAGGAAAAACATGGTGAGATCTTGGAGGGCTAAAGTTCATTCCTTGCCTTGAGATTAGGGATGTAGGTTGAAATATGTCGAAATCCACTTTTTGGGTTGATTGATATTCCCCATTTCCATGAACAACACTGCGATCATGTTTCTGGTTATGGGATGTATGGGGAATTGTGGTATCAGAATTTGGGATGTAACATCATGGAAAACATATACAGTGGATTTTTCCAAGTGGGTCTCTCTGAAATTGGGGTCCACCGGTCTACCGGACAAACATCCGCATTTTCTGGCCATTTGATGGAGGTGATCATCAAGTGGAATGGGGGGTATACCGTTTTCATCCATTTTCAGAACCACCCAGATTTTTTTTTCCAAACTGAGACACCCCAAGCCCATCAAGCCCCGTGAAGTGTCACACAGATGCCATGGTGAGGTAAGGATCCATCTGCTTCGGTCCGTGCGGCTGCGATTCCTCTGATCTCGTCCATGGGGCAGGTTTTTGGGCACTGGGGATGATACGAAATGTGGGGTCCAAGAGTCCAACAAATCAACTAGTTCAAAGGTGTTCATAGTTTATTTTTGCATTATACATAAACTGTTTAGACTTCAGACCCTAGGTTTGATGTATCTACCACTTTGGGATCTTTGGGACTTACATAGCTTCATTTGTCTATGAAGAAGACCGGAAGCTAAGTTTGGACGGAAAATCTGGTGCTTGCTGTTAGGACTGAGATGTTGTTTGAACTTCCGGGCTGGGATCCAAGTTGAAGTCCGCTGCCAGAACTTTCAGGAGCCAAAGTGCTACAGTGAGTGCAGAGCGTGCCAGCGATATTGCAGCACTCCCATGGACACCAATACCAACATTTTGAAAGCTTCAAGTGCATTGAGCTGATGCAGTCCAGCCCGTTGAGAAACCACTAAGACTTACCCATTTTTCCAGGCTGTTCACCTCCATGCCCAAGACTATTCTTTTGTGACCTGAGAAACAGGAGAGCAGAATGCCACCAGTGAAACAAACAAGAAAAGACTCAACTAGGCAAGGTGTGAACTGACACACACACACACACTGACATTGTATCTCCGAAAATTCGATATGGCCAGAGCCGGTCATTTCAATCACATCTGCAAGATGTCCATCAGTTCCCCATCATTCCTTTAGAACGGGACAGCCTCGCCATGGAACGACTCACCGTTGCTTTGCTCTTGGGGCTGGCGGCGCCAAGAGCTGCTTCGGTGGATGTCAATGAATCCGGTGGCTCGGCGAAAGGGACCGACGTCGGCTGGGCTGTCGATGTTTTGTTTTTAGCAGGTCGGCCGCTGACCGTCTCATGGTATATTATACATATATATATATAATATTATATTATGTGTAATATATGTATAATATATATATATATATATTACATTTAATATATATATATATATTACATAATATATATATATATTATAGACATATACAGCTATTTGTGATGGGGAGAAGGATAGATATATGCGTTTTGGCCCAAGTGTTGAGAGAGCGGTGGTTTCCAAACATGCTGATAATTGTCCATTCCTAAAGGCACGATGACATCCCCAAGTGACTTTAGAAGAATCACATCCTACTAAAATAGTTGTCAGCTGCTTTTCGATCTTTTTGAGGAGGAGACAATTAATCAATAGAGATTCTCAAGGGGGTTTTAAACATCTTTAAACCATCAACCGCTTCAGGCAAGAAGTATCAGCTTCCGATCACCCAGCCGGCGGTCATCGACAACTGTTTCTACCGCGACATGTCTCCTGGCGGCCAAGTATATCAATTGTGGAAGCCCCACTAAGCACCATTTTTCCCTGAGTGCACATCAGGATTGCAGCCTTGGAGAGGGCCAATAAATCCGCTCCATGTTTTTTTTCAGTGTATGTAGTCTTTGGAAGGGTCTCTTTGCGTTGTCCATCAGTATCATGGTGCCGCCCCATTCCGCCGAACCTGATTTCATAGCATCACCAGCTCCATTTCCGACTGCCTCAGGAGATATTTCCCTACGATGCTATTGGTTCTTCCATCGCACGAGGAAAGTTTGGTGGCGTGCCAGCAACGCTGCATCACGGTGGAAGGATGTAGGCAGGGGCAAGATGAGCAGATGTGGGCACCGGGGATGTGAGATGGGTACGCAAAAGTTGGGTTTTCGCAGGCAGCATCAGCATTGTTTCAGTGACATCAAAGATCGCATGAGTATAAAGAGGTGTGACATTTCAGTGACATGAGTACAATTTAAAGTGTTCTGAACATCTCTGAAGATCTTAAAACTTAGGCAAAACCTTCCAGTAAGAATAAGCCATGAATAAGCCATTATAAACATTTATGAACCATAAATCATAGATATCAGATATATCAGATATATCATGATATATCAACCGTAATCATTTATAAACCATATGGAGGTACATCTCCTGGTGGGGCACTGGCCACTGCGTTTTGTCGGGTGCTGATGCCTACCTGGTGGAGGACTGACCGGACTGATGCCGTTCCACAGGGGCGGCCCCTTGGGAAGTTGGTGTATCACTCGGCCAATTTTTTCGGATTTATGGTTGATGTATTGGTTGATATATCTGATATCTATGATTTATTTATGGTTCATAAATGTTTATAATGGATTATAATGTATCTATGTATATATACATCGATATATATATATATAGGGCCTCATATATCTATATTTGGATCAGCATATAAAGCCACTTACATAGCTGGGGGGAAGCCTGCAGAAGTCATGAAGAAATCGTGGCGACGGATTCTTTGGGGCCAGCATCGCACAGTCACCAGGACGTCTTTGCAATGGCTGGGCCTGTGCATTGCACACCAGTCCTGGCATCCTGCCGTGAAAGGTGGGGCTGTTCCCTGCTGCCGGGGGGATCACCCCAAATTCACTGGCTTGGTGCTTTGGGCTGGAATCACTCCTGGATGTATACTTGGTCAGGCCTGATTCCAGCTTTCCCGGAGCAACTGGCATCGAATCTGCCAAGGCGTGTTGAACGCCCAGTCACTGAGTTTGCTTTGGCAGAATCCACGTCACTGAATGAAGAACTTCTCAACATAGGCCCGAAATATTGTGGATATTCCTGCCCAAGAATGTCCAATTCAAAGTGCATTTGGGGATCATCCCTAACTTCAGCACCATTTCAGCACCAAATGATTGGAATCCGACACTTGAGAGCTCCAACATCCTCTGTGTTTTGCCAGGCCTGGCCATCGGGATATGTTCCTTTCCCGATGGAGTGCTGGCCGCGGAGTGGAAGCGTCTTGAAGCATTGCGGGAAAGAAGAGGCCCCGTCAGCCACGGGGGTGGGTGGGGGTCCTAATTCATGGCAATGTCAATAGGAAAAATTATGATACCCCAGCATTTTTTTTTTGTACCCTCTGGTAATTTAACATAGCTATTGAAAATGGCCATTTATAGTGAGTTTTCCCATTAAAAATGGTGATTTTCCATAGTTATGTTAAATTACCAGAGGGTACCCCATTGTCAGTCACCTCAGGTGGTGCTAAAAAACTCTCAGCTGATGCGTTGAATGGGTCCCGTTTTGCAGGTCATCCAGGATGTCTCCAGCGGCCTGGTTGGGGCTTGCCAGAATATGGAGCAGCTGACAGTGGCTAGTTGGCAATTTCAATGGCCATGACTCAGGAACCGATAAAAATTGGAGGTACCTACCATATATAAGGCCTATATAAGATTATGTAAGGCCTATATGTAAGGGAATATCCCCACAAAATATGGCCTGAAATATGGTACAGTACCTCGAGCCTCCATTTTAGGATCCTGAAATTCCCATTGGCAATAGGGGGTCTCCTGGTGCACTGGAGGTCATGGCGTTTGCC